AGAAGAGCAGAGGGGTGAAGAATGGAACCAGTTAAGTAAAGGCTTTTCTGAAGAAGAGGGTTTTGAGTCTGGATTTGAAGGAGTTTAGAGAAGGTGACTTTCTGATATCCTTGGGCAGAGAGTTCCAGAGCTTGGGGGCATAAGGCCCTGTCACCCATACATTATAGACGGGCTTGGGGGACAGTAAGGAAAGCAGAATTAGAAGAGTGAAGGTTGCGAGGTGGGGAGTAGGGCGATAATAGTTCAGACAGGTACTGAGGTGCCAAGCCATGCAGAGCCTTATAGGTGAGCATGAGGATTTTAAAGTCTACACGAAATTTGACCGGAAGCCAGAGCAAGGACTCCAGGATAGGAGTAATGTGAACACTTGCACTAGACCTGGTCAGGATTCTGGCTGCTGAATTTTGGACATACTGCAGTTTGTTCAGAGTAGATTTAGATACCCTGGCGAGTAGAGCATTACAGTAGTCAATTTTAGTTTCTAATTAGTTTTAATAAACAATGAATACATTTCTAATAAGAAAGCAGCCATATCACCTACACCACTACACACACATGTAAGCCGAATTTGTACTGTCCCCTTGATAGCCCAGTAAAACTGTACCGGTCGTAATAATATTTAATATTTATTAATTAACCATACTATTTTTAACCATACTATTTCTGCACTGTTCCAAGAATTACCTGCACTGTTTTTGTCCTGTTATATTTGCTCTGCGGAATTATGCACAGTTTTGATTACTTGATTACATGTTATTTATGTTATTACATGTTACTGTTATTGCTATTGTGTTACTGTCTATTGTCTTATCTTGTGTCCTATTTATATAATGCACCTGAGTGACTAACGAGAAACACTTTTCATACTATGCACCTGTGTAAGTTTAATGACAATAAAGTTGAATTGAATTGAATATCATCCTGCAATTCACAACTGGCAACCTAGTGAAGCTAAGCAGGAGTGAGCCTGGTCAGTACCTGGATGAGAGACCTCCTGGGAAAGCTAAGGTTGCTGCTGGAAATGGTG